AGAGAGAGAGAGAGAGAGAGAGAGAGAGAGAGAAAGAGAGAGAGAGAGAGAGAGAGAGAGAGAGAGAGAGAAAATGAGTTATGATGACTGCCCCACTTCTAGGCATACATACACCTCTGCACCAACAGGATCTCACCATTTATCCGCTCTTGTCCCTTGATCTGAACAACCTGCAATAGAAATCTGATCAGACCCTACGTTTCTGTTGTGTTGCTTAACCTCAATTAATTCATTAATTGTACATTTTTTCTAATGCAATAATGGCGCCTCACGAATCAGAAATCCTAGCGCCAAAAGAGAAGCCCACAAGCTGACTTTTAAAAACTATTGCTCCTACTAACTGTTTTCAAGATACGCCACTCCCTGAAATAAGTGCCAAACGCGATGTAAAAAAAACCCCACCAAAATTTAAAATACCAACCAGGTCTTTTAAAATATGTTTTTTCTTTAAGCAACCATCTTACAGTAAACGAGCTTTGGCCAATCCCAGCGTACCCTGCTCTCGGGAACTCGCCACACCCTCTCAGATACATCTAAATAAAAATTATATTATTAGTCACTTTTAAGGACAAGCGAGCTAACCCAGATTTGGGGGTTTCAGAAATCTTGACCACACCGAAAGTGGGCATTGCACTACCTAAAGGAGGAGTTTGGTTTCATTGGTGTATATATTTGTTTGATTATAGAGAAAACTCGCCTTGTCTTTTAAAGAAACTGAACAAGGGGCAAAAACTTTACCTTCGATTTTCTCCAAACAGCATTTTTTGGGATCGCTCCCTTGTGCTTAAAAGTGACTAAATATCAGATTAACTCCACTCTGCTTAGCTCAGGTCACGCCAGCTGGCCTCTCTATTAACTTTCTCTCTTATTATTGCTCTCGATTTAACACTTGGATGCTCGTGAATATACCGCCCCCCTCCACCCCCCTAAAAAAAATCCAAAAAAGAACTAAACAAAAAACGTGTTACAATCGCTACCACCCTGTTTCCAAGCCGTTAAACTAGTGACCTAATTACGGTTTTTTGAATTGTGTGGCTGGTGGGTGCTCGATCTGGTGTGGTCTGCTCCTTCTTTCCTATCAAGCAAACATAATTAATGTATCGTTCTTATCTCTTCCTCTTCTTCTTTTCTTTGCATGGAACACCTCTAATATTCAGCACTTACACGACCAATTTTGTTTGCAAATGCCGTAATACTCTTACTAAAACTTAACTTTACAAAAGGGTTTAAGAGGAAGAAGCAAGATGGCACATCTAAGATACTGTGATTATATTTCATTTGTATTAAATGTATCATTATCATTATTTGTTTATATTCATTCTTTACGATAATAAACAAGATCTCTGTGTAAAAAAAATCCTTGCAGTTTGGCTTTATTTATTTGTTTTTCGTATGGGTGAAAACTGAACACATTATTAGAAGATACCGCCTTTAGGTTCAACTTTCCCCCTCTTTTCCATATGTTTTCCTTTTAAGTTAAATGCAAGTGTCTTTACGCCCCAATGACGTAGTTTAGGTCACTTAGGAGGCGGGCTTCCGACCCTGCCTGTCCAGCCAACCCGGACTGAGAGAAATCCAACACCCCATCAGAAAGGCCACAGATACTCGATAAACATTCGGAGAAACATCCGCAGCAACGTGTATAGCAGAAGCAGCAAATAATACCACAAGTCATAGGTAACAAGGAAAAGGACGACGAATTCAACAACATCATCATCATCAACAACAGCAGCAGCAGCAGCAGCAGCAGCAGCAGCAAGTCATGATAAAACAGCATTAATGATCCCCAACACAAACATCTTCCACACATTTATTTGCTTTAATCAACGACAGAAATCTCTGGCTCGTTTGTGACATTTTTGTGAGTCTTTGTGTATATGTTCGCGCGCGTGTGCGTGTATGTATAGTGTATTTGTGTGTGCGTATGAGTGAGTGTGTGTGCATGCGTGTGTATGTACGTGTATGTGTGTGAGTGTGCGTGTGAGTGTGAAAGTAAGTGTGAGTCTGAGTGTGTGTGTGGGTGTGTGTGTGTATGTGTATGTGTATGTGTGAGCATGTGTGCGTGTGTGTGTGCGTGCGCGCAAGCACTCTGTGTGCGTTTGGGTATGTGTGAGCATGTGTGTGTGTGTGTGTGTATGTGTGTGTGTGTGTGTGTGTGTGTGTGTGTGTGTGTGTGTTGCCTGTGTGAGCACGTACGTGTAAATATAATAATTCTGTCGACCGTTGAGATGTTGCCTGTATTTGGCACACGGCGCTCACTGCTCCCAACATGTCCCTCGTAAACACGTCAGTCATTGAGTTATCAGTCACTGCTCCCAACATGTCCCCCGAAAACACGTCAGTCACTGAGTTATCAGTCACTGCTCCCAGCATGTCCCCCGTAAACACGTCAGTCACTGAGTTATCAGTCACTGCTCCCAGCATGTCCCCCGTAAACACGTCAGTCACTGGGTTATCAGTCACTGCTCCCAGCATGTCCCCCGTAAACACGCCAGTCACTGAGTTATCAGTCACTGCTCCCAACATGTCTCCCGTAAACACGTCAGTCACTGAGTTATCAGTCATTGCTTGTGAGAGAAGTCACGGACGTTGATGACGCGTTAGTCTTAAGGGGTTTTGGGTCAGGAATTGTAAATTGTTGTGGCGTGGGACAGCTTCTCTTTGTGTAGGACAGACGGATAAACATTGTGTGTCCAGGCGGTGGTGGTTTGGGGGGGG